TCAGTCCTCACACCCCACTCATCAGCCCTCACACCCCACTCATCAGCCCTCACACCCCACTCATCAGTCCTCACACCCCACTCATCAGTCCTCACACCCCACTCATCAGCTCTCACACCCCACTCATCAGCTCTCACACCCCACTCATCAGTCCTCACACCCCACTCATCAGTCCTCACACCCCACTCATCAGTCCTCACACCCCACTCATCAGTCCTCACACCCCACTCATCAGTCCTCACACCCCACTCATCAGCCCTCACACCCCACTCATCAGTCCTCACACCCCACTCATCAGCTCTCACACCCCACTCATCAGCCCTCACACCCCACTCATCAGCCCTCACACCCCACTCATCAGTCCTCACACCCCACTCATCAGTCCTCACACCCCACTCATCAGTCCTCACACCCCACTCATCAGTCCTCACACCCTACTTATCAGTCCTCACACCCCACTCATCAGCTCTCACACCCCACTCATCAGTCCTCACACCCCACTCATCAGCTCTCACACCCCACTCATCAGTCCTCACACCCCACTCATCAGCCCTCACACCCCACTCATCAGTCCTCACACCCCACTCATCAGCTCTCACACCCCACTCATCAGTCCTCACACCCCACTCATCAGCCCTCACACCCCACTCATCAGCCCCCACACCCCACTCATCAGTCCTCACACCCCACTCATCAGCTCTCACACCCCACTCATCAGCTCTCACGCCCCACGCATCAGTCCTCACACCCTACTTATCAGTCCTCACACCCCACTCATCAGCTCTCACACCCCACTCATCAGTCCTCACACCCCACTCATCAGTCCTCACACCCCACTCATCAGTCCTCACACCCCACTCATCAGCCCTCACACCCCACTCATCAGTCCTCACACCCCACTCATCAGTCCTCACACCCCACTCATCAGCTCTCACACCCCACTCATCAGCTCTCACACCCAACTCATCAGCCCCCACGCCCCACTCATCAGCCCTCACACCCCACTCATCAGTTCTCACACCCCACTCATCAGCTCTCACACCCAACTCATCAGCCCCCACGCCCCACTCATCAGCTCTCACACCCCACGCATCAGTCCTCACACCCTACTTATCAGTCCTCACACCCCACTCATCAGCCCCCACACCCCACTCATCAGCCCCTCACACCCCACTCATCAGCCCTCACACCCCACTCATCAGCCCTCACACCCCACTCATCAGCCCCTCACACCCCACTCATCAGCCCTCACACCCCACTCATCAGTCCTCACACCCCACTCATCAGCTCTCACACCCAACTCATCAGCCCTCACACCCCACTCATCAGCCCCCACGCCCCACTCATCAGTCCTCACACCCCACTCATCAGCACTCCCACCCACTCTGATATCACCTCGCCTCCTAGACACACCCTAACACCAACACCAAACACAAATATACACGAAGCGTTCAGACTGCATTTTCGCAGACTTCCAGGGAGCGTTTGGTGTTGTTCCTCGCGAATAACTACTGTACAATATGAAGACACAAGTACAGATAACTGAAGAAACAAAATCATTGATTTTGGTGAGATAATGGCTGATAGTGAAGACGTCACAGTCAGAGAGATGTCGAGCTGGAGAGTCGTGAGAAATTGGGTCCCCCAGGATCGATCTCTGGACTGCAGCTGTCTAGGGAACCCGGGAGCCCTACATGATGGGGTGGTGTTAGCAGTTGCTCCAGGCGGCTCTGTCACTAACTCAAATCTTTCATCCTTCCACATCTGTTCACTCATTTTGTTCCCTTTCAAGATGCTGAAGGTCTTCCTCTGCCATATGATCACTTTACTGTGACATTTTACACTATTCTTATTAGCGATTATCTGGCACTCACATAGTCTATCGACACCACTCAAATAGTCTATCGACACCACTCACATAGTCTATCGACACCACTCACATAGTCTATCGACACTACTCACATAGTCTATCGACACCACTCAAATAGTCTATCGACACCACTCACATAGTCTATCGACACCACTCAAATAGTCTATCGACACCACTCACATAGTCTATCGACACCACTCAAATAGTCTATCGACACCACTCAAATAGTCTATCGACACCACTCAAATAGTCTATCGACACCACTCAAATAGTCTATCGACACCGCTCACATAGTCTATCGACACCACTCAAATAGTCTATCGACACCACTCACATAGTCTATCGACACCACTCAAATAGTCTATCGACACCACTCAAATAGTCTATCGACACCACTCACATAGTCTATCGACACCGCTCACATAGTCTATCGACACCACTCAAATAGTCTATCGACACCACTCAAATAGTCTATCGACACCGCTCAAATAGTCTATCGACACCACTCAAATAGTCTATCGACACCACTCACATAGTCTATCGACACCACTCAAATAGTCTATCGACACCACTCACATAGTCTATCGACACCACTCAAATAGTCTATCGACACCACTCACATAGTCTATCGACACCACTCAAATAGTCTATCGACACCACTCACATAGTCTATCGACACCACTCAAATAGTCTATCGACACCGCTCACATAGTCTATCGACACCACTCAAATAGTCTATCGACACCACTCAAATAGTCTATCGACACCACTCACATAGTCTATCGACACCACTCACATAGTCTATCGACACCACTCAAATAGTCTATCGACACCACTCACATAGTCTATCGACACCACTCACATAGTCTATCGACACCACTCAAATAGTCTATCGACACCACTCACATAGTCTATCGACACCACTCACATAGTCTATCGACACCACTCAAATAGTCTATCGACACCACTCACATAGTCTATCGACACCACTCACATAGTCTATCGACACCACTCAAATAGTCTATCGACACCACTCATTCCACAAATTAAGATTTCACTCACTCGTCCCTTTCAGTAATACTAAATCTTTCATATTCTTCAGCATTGCCATTCTGCATTCCACACAATTGCATCAGCTGCCCCGACCGTCAAAGTGGTTGGGCACTATTCCTTCCTCCCCCCCTCCCCCATCCGTCCCCATCCCAAATCCTTGTCCTGATCCCTTCCAAGTGCTATATAGTCGTAATGGCTTGGCACTTTCTCCTGACAGGTCCCCCCTCCCTTCCTCCTACTGCACTTTCCCCTATCATTATCCTGTCTCATTTCACCATCCACACCTTCCCTTCCATCTTTCCCTTCATACAAAATGCGTTTCCCTCCCCCTCTTTTAATTTACATGTTTTAAAACAGGGGAAATAAGGGTGACTAACTTAGTCAACTAAAGAACAAATCCACAAGGGCCGTGATAAGGGTTCGAACCTACGTCCAAGAGGATCCCAGATGCTGCCTAGTTAACTAATTTAACTTCCTCTTTAGTGGCATGATCCTCAGGACACTCTGCAATACTGGCACTAGTAGAGGATTCAGTGCCATAACTGCTCTCTGAAACCACTGTAAATACAAAAAAAAATTGAGTAAGATTACGCAATAACTCTTCTGGAAACTTTCTTATTAAGACTGCTCAATAGCTCGGTCGATAGAGCTTCGGTCTCACACATGTAGGGTCCAGAGTTCGAGTCTCCTACAGCCCAGGTATCTTGAGGTTATCTTGAGATGATTTCGGGTATTTTTTTTTTTTAGTATCCCCGCGGCCCGGTCCTCGACCAGGCCTCCACCCCCAGGAAGCAGCCCGTGACAGCTGACTAACACCCAGGTACCTATTTTACTGCTAGGTAACAGGGGCAAAGGGTGAAAGAAACTCTGCCCATTGTTTCTCGCCGGCGCCCGGGATCGAACCCAGGACCACAGGATCACAAGTCCAGTGTGCTGTCCGCTCGGCCGACCGGTTCCCTTTATGTAAATGGATTCCCTAGGTTCCTAGGGAATCCCTAGGGTTCCCTAGGATTCCCTAGGATTCCCTAGGATTCGACCGGTTCCCTTTATGTAAATGGATTCCCTAGGTTCCTAGGGAATCCCTAGGGTTCCCTAGGATTCCCTAGGATTCCCTAGGATTCCCTAGGATTCGACCGGTTCCCTTTATGTAAATGGATTCCCTAGGTTCCTTGGGAATCCCTAGGGTTCCCTAGGATTTCCTAGGACTCCCTAGGATTCCCTAGGATTCGACCGGTTCCCTTTATGTAAATGGATTCCCTAGGTTCCTAGGGAATCCCTAGGGTTCCCTAGGGTTCCCTAGGATTCCCTAGGATTCGACCGGTTCCCTAGGTAAATGGAAGAAGCACTGTAAACACAGTGTTCTTTAGCAATACCGGACATCAACAACACAAATGAGTCCAGCGTCTAATAATCGCGAAGTTAAGACCTTACTCATAAAGACCTCGAGCATAACTTCAATAAAAACGATTAACAAAATATTTTTCTAAGTTCATTTCCCAGAGCAGAAAGCGTCTTGGGTCGTCTCGGCGAGGCTCTGGTGGCAGCGTCGGTCTTCTATATGGAATTTACATTCCATGGAAACCTCACTGAACCTCACACAGCCCAGTAAACACGCTCAGTCCAAACATCAAAAGTGTTGATGCAGCACCTTAGTCCTGCTGTGCAGTGGGGGTGTAGCCAAGGTACGTTTGCTGTGCAGTGGGGTGTAGCCAAGGTACATTTGTTGTGCAGTGGGGTGTAGACATGGTACATATGTTGTGCGGTAGGTGTAGCCATGGTACATTTGCTGTGCAGTGGGGTGTAGCCAAGGTACGTTTGCTGTGCAGTGGGGTGTAGCCAAGGTACGTTTGCTGTGCAGTGGGGTGTAGCCAAGGTACATTTGCTGTGCAGTGGGGTGTAGCCAAGGTACGTTTGCTGTGCAGTGGGGTGTAGCCAAGGTACGTTTGCTGTGCAGTGGGGTGTAGCCAAGATACACTTACCGTGCAGTGGGGTGTAGCCAAGATACACTTACCGTGCAGTGGAGGTGTAGCCAAGATACACTTACCGTGCAGTGGAGGTGTAGCCAAGATACACTTAC